CCAAAAAATTTGCCCGTTTTACTTTTTTTTTTTAACTGAAATTAACTCGGGTTTATTTCAGCACAACACAATGTTTGTACAACTGTGCTTCTCACTTTATACTGACCCTCGACGGTGCTTCTCACTTTATACTGACCCTCGACGGTGCTTCCCACTTTATACTGACCCTCGACGGTGCTTCCCACTTTATACTGACCCTCGACGGTGCTTCCCACTTTATACTGACCCTCGACGGGGGCTTCCCACTTTATACTGACCCTCGACAGTGCTTCCCACTTTATACTGACCCTCCACTGTGCTTCCCACTGTATACTGACCCTCCACTGTGCTTCCCACTGTATACTGATCCACCACTGTGCTTCCCACTTTATACTGACCCTTCACTGTGCTTCCCACTTTATACTGACCTACCACTGTGCTTCCCACTGTATACTGACCCACCACTGTGCTTCCCACTGTATACTGACCCACCACTGTGCTTCCCACTTTATACTGACCCTTCACTGTGCTTCCCACTTTATACTGACCTACCACTGTGCGCTTCCCACTTTATACTGACCCTCCACTGTGCTTCCCACTTTATACTGACTCACCACTGTGCTTCCCACTTTATACTGACCCACCACTGTGCTTCCCACTTTGTACTGACCCTCCGCTGTGCTACCCACCTTACACTTGCACTAACCTTCCACTGTGATTCCCACTTTACACTTGCACTAACCCTCCACTGTGCTACCCACCTTACACTCGCACTAACTCTCCACTCCTTTATCTGCTACCACATATATCCACCTTGTCACCATGTGGTTTTAGCTTGTATTGTAATGTGTGTTACTGAAGGTGTCTGGTCCTCAGCTTAAACATGGCATTATTGTTGAAGAATCAGACACATGTACAACATATGATTATATTGTAGATGTTGCACCATCCAATGACTTTATTAATACAAGGACATATGTTCTTGTATTGATAAAGACACTGGATGGTGCAACATTTACAAATAAAGATACCTGGATGTTGTACATCTGGGTATCTAATTCTTTACCTTGTTGGTATTGTATATCATTCATGTACAACATTATGTTTGGTAGCAGAGCAGGAGATGCGCAAATTAACATTAAGATCGACAACACTCTAATTGCCAGGCATAATGAGGGCAAATTCCTAGGTCTATACCTCGACAACAACTGAACTTCAGCACGCATATCCAACACATAACCAAAAAAGTATCCAAAACGGTTTGGGATCCTCTCCAGATACCTGATACTACGTGCCGCAAACTGCC